TATTCATGCTAGAATTGTATTAACCGGAAACATAATACATGTGTGAATACATAGACAAACAGAGTGTCACTAGTATGCCTCTACTTGACTAGCTCGTTGATCAAAGATGGTTAAGTTTCCTAACCATAGACATGAGTTGTCATTTGATTAACGGGATCACATCATTAGGAGAATGATGTGATTGACTTGACCCATTCCGTTAGCTTAGCACTTGATCGTTTAGTTTGTTGCTATTGCTTTCTTCATGACTTATACATGTTCCTATGACTATGAGATTATGCAACTCCCGTTTACCGGAGGAACACTTTGTGAGCCACCAAACGTCACAATGTAACTGGGTGATTATAAAGGTGCTCTACAGGTGTCTCCAAAGGTACTTGTTGGGTTGGCATATTTCGAGATTAGGATTTGTCACTCCGATTGTCGGAGAGGTATCTCTGGGACCACTCGGTAATGCACATCACTATAAGCCTTGCAAGCATTGCAACTAATGAGTTAGTTGCGGGATGATGTATTACGGAACGAGAAAAGAGACTTGCCGGTAACAAGATTGAACTAGGTATTGAGATACCGACGATCGAATCTCGGGCAAGTAACATACCGATGACAAAGGGAACAACGTATGTTATTATGCGGTCTGACCGATAAAGATCTTCGTAGAATATGTAGGAGCCAATATGGGCATCCAGGTCCCGCTATTGGTTATTGACCAAAGAGGTGTCTTGGTCATGTCTACATAGTTCTCGAACCCGTAGGGTCCGCACGCTTAACGTTCGTTGATGATATAGTACTATATGAGTTATGTATGTTGGTGACCGAATGTTGTTCGGAGTCCGGGATGAGATCACAGACATGACGAGGAACTCCGAAATGGTCCAGAGATAAAGTTTGATATATGGGATAATACTGTTTGGTCACCGGAAGGGTTCCGGAATTCACCGGAAGGGGTTCCGGATGTTTCCCGAAATGTTTGGGTACGAGAACACTTTATTTGGGCCAAAGGGGAAAGCCCATAAGGTTTTTGGAAAGCGCAAAAGGAAGTTTTGCGGAGTCCAGGGGCCAGACGCCAGGGTCCCTGGCGTCTGGGTCCAGACGCCGGGAACCCTGGCGTCTGGCCCTGGAGTCCGAGAAGGACTCTTACCTTTCGGGTGAAACCAACTTTGTGGAGGATTTTACTCCAAGTTTCGACCCCAAGGCTCAACATATAAATAGAGGGGTAGGGCTAGCACCCAAGACACATCAAGAAACACTAAGCCGTGTGCCGGCAACCCCGTCCCATCTAGTTTATCCTCCGTCCTAGTTTTCGTAGTGCTTAGGCGAAGCCCTGCGGAGATTGTTCTTCACCAACACCGTTACCACGCCGTCGTGCTGCCGGGACTCATCTACTACTTCGCCCCTCTTGCTGGATCGAGAAGGCGATGACGTCACCGAGCCGAACGTGTGCAGAACTCGGAGGTGCCGTGCTTTCGGTACTTGGATCGGTCGGATCATGAAGACGTACGACTACATCAACCGCGTTGATATAACGCTTCCGCGAACGGTCTACGAGAGTACGTAGACAACACTCTCCCCTCTTGTTGCTATGCATCACCATGATCTTGCATGTACGTAGAATTTTTTTGAAATTACTACGTTCCCCAACAGGTTGGTGGTTCTCGATCAAACATGGTTTACTGGAGTGAAACAATGTTTCCTTCAGCAGCAAACTCGAGTTATGGAAACCTTTCGCAAGTTGAGACATCCAAACTCGTGAAAAACATTGTTTCACCAGCGCCAAAACATTGTTTCTTCAGCAAATAGCCTATTTCTTCGCAACTCTGTTTCTTTGTCATAAAACACTGTCTCGGCTCGGACTAAAAATGTTGTTGGTCTTCTTTGATGTTGCACCCGAGTTCAACCAGCAACGAAGGAGGTGAAGGCACAACCATGTTTTCAAGGTCAAATGATAAACTTAAGTTAGCGTTCAGCTGATCACATATTTGCTTGCACAGCTTCTTGTGATTGGACCGTTGGTTGGGATGTCCTTATCATCTTCACATGAAAACAAGCACGAGGTTAGACTTCATGGAAAAATTTCTCTGTTTTGCTACTCGTCTACTCGATGTAGGATTTCAGTGGATAGTGCATTCCATTCATGAACGTATCCTATTTCTACTCGATGTAGGATTTCAGTGGATAGTGCATTCCATTCATGAACGTACCCTATTTCTACGCTTCCCCAACATGTGGAGCCCTTAACCATTCATATGATAGGATAAATTTTTTACATCAGGACAGGATAAATACTTATTCAGTAGTACTATCTCCGTTTTAACTAGCCTACCAAAACGCACTCCCTCTGTCCAGGTGCATAAGTCATTTTAGAGCAAGTACAATAAGGTACAGTCAGCAGGCTGTAAGGAGTAAAATAATTTTTGTGCTTAGTTGGAGGAGAGAAGATAGGAGAGAGAATGTAAGCGGGCTCTCATGCAAGAGCTAGCTGCAACACGTGCTCCTAGGTACTACTCCCTCCGTTCCGAACTACTTGTCTTGGATTTGTCTAGATACGGATGTATCTAGACTCATTTTAGTGCTAGATACCTCCGTATCTAGACAAATCTAAGACAAGTAATTCGGAACAGAGGGAGTATGTGAGAGTGGAAGATGGGTCATGTATTAATAAAGTAGCACCTATTTATAGCTAATTGTTATACATGTTAGCTACAAGGTTGGCTATAGATGACATGGCACTTTCTTATAGCCAATAATTGGATATACCATTAACCATGCTCTTAGGTTATGCACCGCGACCAAGACGGGGAGAAAAACAAGAGAATTTAATGTTTATTTGCTAATTAATAGAATTGCATGCCATGATCTGACCACTGCATGTCGTGTTTGATAGTCTCAAGTCATTGAAAATATACAGCCCCACGTCTCTTATTGATCGATTCCTTTATTTATGTCAAGAAACAAGAAATGATGTAGGAGTTAATGTATCGCGCCTAAGTGTTTTGGGATTATTTGGTTTTCATAAAATGACTGTAGTATTTTTTTTTTTGAAAAACCCAGCCCATATATTAATTAAAAATAGAATGTTCATACAATCATTCATTACAGCATCAGCCACACAGGCCGGAACACTATTAATAAGAGCACCATCACATCTATTAATAAAACTAAACTTAGCTAACTTGTGCGCCACCATATTAGCTTTTCTGCTAATCTTGGAAATCTTAACATTCGCCAGCATCTTCGAAATACTCAAAGCTTGTTTCTTTAGGTCAACAAGGGGAGATCTGTCACAACTGCCATTTCCAAGAGCACCGACCACAAAAAAACAATCAGTTTCTAAAATGATGGATTAATGCAGGGTAATACCGATATACAATCCGGAGAGTGCCGCCCTAAGTTCCGCTTCCTCGACGATATAGCAAGCTCCAATATAATCCCAAGAGGAGATGACAACTTCTCCACAATGATGGCCTCGACTTATTGAAACAAGGTGTAATTTGGAGAGTTGTCGATGGGGCCAGTATAAACATATGGAGAGATAATTGGATCCCTAGGGAGTCTGGCCTAAAGATTACCGCTAAGAAAAATAGAACAAGGATTAAATGGGTGTCTGAGTTATTCATGACAGATTCTAGGAGGTGGGATGAGAATTTGATCAGGCACTTATTTTATCCTCATGATGCAGATGAAATCTTAAAGCTACGTACTCAGGATTTGGGTGAGGGGGGCCTTATTGCTTGGCATTGTGAGAAAAGTGGCATATTTTCTACAAAAAGTGCGTATAGGCTCGCACTGAATATCAAGGGCTCAACAGTTAGTTTGGGGAATTCTAGTGTAGAAGTTAATGTAGAGAGGAGGATCTGGAATATTATCTAGAGATCTAATGTTCCTCAGAAGATTAAAATTTTTGCCTGAAGAGTTGCTTCAAACAGTTTGGTAGTTCAAGTTAACAAAGTTAAGCATCATCAAACCATCCTGAGTGCATGTACAATCTATGGTGTGAAGGATGAATGCACTTTTCATGTCTTGGTGAGTTGTCCAAAGGCTTGTGCATTTTGGATGGCTTTGAGAAACGTGTGGAATTTACCAGCCGAAGGGCTTCTCAAAAATACAAGGCCAGATTGGCTCCTTATTTTACCGGATCAATTAAATTCGTTGGCGCGTGAGCAAACTATATTCATGTTGTGGAGAGCTTGGCATTTAAGAAATGATCTGATTTTTGATAAAGGTAAAGAAGAACCTATCTCAGCTTCTGTGAATTTTGTACAAAATTACTGGGCTTCCTTTTTTTTCTTGCCACGCAAAACCGCAGGGAGTGATAAGTAATAAAGGCAAGGAACTGGGGGATAACATTCGGGCTTTGAATAAGTATGAAGAGGAGTTCTGTTGGTTGGCAACCTCTCAACGAGGAGTGCTATAAGATTAATGTAGATGCAAGTTTTGTGGAGGCAATCAACCCTGCGAGTATATTTTGGAACGGAGCATAGTACTACTTCTCTCTTTATGTGTGCCAAAGTTAAATTATGTTTAGATGTGTGTGCCACTACTATGTCTGGCCCGGCCGTCACTGCAACCGAATTAACGAGTTAATGAAAGCGACACCACAATCCACTTACACCGGAGAGAAGACAGAAATGCCCCCTGAACTCCATTTCCGAGCACGATAGATTCTTCCCTTCCTTCGGTCTCCATTCCATTCCATTCCTGCGACGCTTGATTGAATTGAACCTAACAACGCCCGAATCCATCGATTCTTCCATTTCCAATCCCCCGACTCCTTCAAAACCCACAAATCCCCAGATCCTGGATCGAAATTAGGAGCAAAGGCAGCGCCTTTGCGTCTCTCCTCGTCCGCCTTGGTGCGCGCCACCGGGGACGCGCGCTAGCCGGCAGCGCCGCGCGGAGGAGACGCGCGCCGGCTCCGACCTCCGGCTCTGTTCGCATCGATTTACTGATGCCCGCGGCCGTCATGGCGAAAGAAACGGTGCTCGTCCGGTAGTCTGACCATGCTCAAAATCCGTTCGGCGAAATGCCCCTGGGCGTCCGTCGGCGCGGCCGGCGCCCTCGTGATGCTCGTCACCGCCGTCCATGTATTCATGGTGCCGATCCTCCCCTCGTCCCTGGATTTCTCGGGCGCTCGCCGCAGCGTCCACCACCGGCCGAGGAACGTGCTCCCGGGCGCTGGGGTTGTGGACTCACGCCTCAGGGCTCGGTTTCCTGCCGATTCATACGAAGCCGTGACGTTCCGTGCCGCGCCGTGGAAGGCCGAGATCGGGAGGTGGCTCGCTGGGTGCCATGCCGAATCATCAGCTGTCAACATTACTGAAGTGTGCACTAGGCTTTTTCACTCATCAGTGTACTCCGATTTAGCTTTGCCTTGGGTTAATCTTGTTGTTATTTCTGGACAGGCTATTGGCACAAAGAGGTGCGAGAAAGACTGCAGTGGAAATGGTGTGTGCAACTATGACCTGGGGGAATGCAGATGCTTCCATGGATATGCTGGTTAGTCTTACTTTGTCAGGCCCAACTAATGCTGGTAGTCTTGCTCACTGGTCACTTGTTGTCCATCGCATCTCATTTTGATAGGGGATTTTTGTAGATCTGATAGTTCTTTGGACCTGGACAAACTTGGTATGGAAACAAAGGCGAGCGAGAAAAATGATAAAAAGAGGTTACTTCATAGGGCCGAAAGCACGAGAGACTAGCTCTGGGTGTTTATATTGGACATAATAATAACACTTACATATCTCACTAGCCATATACATCTGCGAGTGGGCTTATGTAATAAAAGAGTGCACATCCCTGGTCTGTAGTTAAGCGGTTGAGGGCATCCTGTGCTTCTGCAAGAGGATACATAATGTTCAGTTTTCGCGGTCATCGATGTAGGATTGTAGGAATGTTGCATTAAGTCTCAAATATTTAATCTGTTCTGTGACCATTATCAGATATGCTTGAATCGGGAATGAACTTGTGCATTAATAAGCTGTTACATTTTAGTTAGAGGGCTATTGTCTTACTTGTCTACCTTTTTGTGGAATATAAGCAGTTAATGGCATGTTCGTTTTTTTAGTAATAGTTAACAAAAAAGGCAACTCTTTTGTTTCTAAAGGAAGGAGCATATGCATTATGTGCTATGGCAAGGTGGGGTTGTCTACTGTTCCCTTGGTCGTATTGATTTGTTTTTTGTCAACCTTTCCCTTCTAAACATTTTAATTATAACAATTTTGTTTATCAAGTAACCATATGGCTTTGTTAATACAGGAAAAGGATGTGAGAGGGTTCTGAAGTTGGAGTGCAACCTCCCAAGTTCCCCAGAATGGCCTGTAGGACCCTGGATAGTTTCCATATGTCCAGCCCAGTGTGACACAACCAGGACAATGTGCTTTTGTGGACCAGGAACAAAATACCCGGATCGCCCTGTGGCAGAAGCTTGCGGCTTTAAAACAATGTAAGAGTATCATATGCACTGATTTTGATTATTTTTTTATGCTTCGGAATGTGTACCATTGATACTGTAGTATTATTGAACACCTTTAGTTCATCCTTCTAGCGTGCCTGCAAAACCTGATGACCCGAAGCTTACCGACTGGACAACACCTGATCCAGATGTATTCACAACAAACAGCAGTAAGCTAGGATGGTGCAATGTGGACCCTGAGGATGCATATTCTTCCAAAGTGAAGTTTAAAGAAGAATGTCATTGCAAATATGATGGACTCTGGGGGCAGTTTTGTGAGACACATGTTGAATGCATTTGTATTAACCAGTGTTCCGGACATGGACATTGTCGTGGTGGTTTCTGTCAGGTATGTCTTGGGCAAAGTTTTTTGTGGTATTTATCATGAAAATACCGTGACATGCTGTTCTGTATTCGTAACCTGTGTTATGATCTAATTGAGGATTTCTTTCAGTGCGACAGTGGATATTTTGGGATTGATTGCAGCATCCCATCGGCTTATTCAGTTGCATATGAATGGCCCTCATGGCTCCAAGCACCAGTGAACCTACCAGACCTAAAAAATTTAAGCAATATCCCCATCAATGTCAATGCTGTTGTTGAGAAAAAAAGACCACTAATATATGTGTACGATTTGCCAGCTGAGTTTGACAGTCATCTTCTTGAAGTAAGTCTAGACCACAAGTTTTGCTCCCTGTTTTCTTCTCTTCATGAAGTTTTGCTGCAGCTTTGACATCGCAGGATATGTTCTATTGCAGGGACGACATTACAAGTTAGAGTGTGTGAACAGAATATATGATGAAAAGAACAGAACTATATGGACGCGGCAACTGTATGGTGCTCAGGTTTGCTAAACTTGTCAACTAGCAGATATGGAATGTTGGTAGCTCCATGTTTATAGTAACAACAATCGCGTTTACAAGGGCACAAGAAGATCTGAGACATGTTTTATTTTTCATATAGATGGCACTCTATGAGAGCATTCTTGCTAGCCCTCACCGCACACTGAATGGGGATGAAGCTGATTATTTCTATGTGCCGGTTCTTGACTCTTGTCTAATAACTAGATCCGATGATGCCCCACACCTGCAGATGCCGGTAACCATTATCATCAAGATGTTGTACTATAGTTGGCATGTTTCTCCTTCAGTAATTGAGTTCTAATTTTAGGAGGACCTGCGCCTCAGGAGTTACCATACTCTTGAGTACTACAGAAAGGCTTATGATCACATAGCTCAGAGGTATCCTTACTGGAACCGCACTTCTGGAAGAGACCATATTTGGGTGGGTGTTTACATGAAATTGATAGTACAATGATCCTTGCATAACCAATAACCTGTACTTTCAACTTACAAAAAAAAAAACAGTTCTTTTCGTGGGATGAAGGTGCCTGCTATGCTCCAAAGGAGATCTGGAACAGCATGATGCTTGTCCACTGGGGAAATACCAACACAAAACATGAAAAATCAACGACTGCTTATTGGGCTGACAACTGGGATGATATTCCTTTGGATAGAAGAGGCAACCATCCATGTTTCGATCCGAGAAAGGACCTCGTGCTTCCAGCATGGAAGGAGCCTAACCCAGGGGCCATCTGGTTAAAACTATGGGCAAGGTATGTCTCAATGCCTGAACTTAGAGATGTGCCTTTTAACTACTGGAATGTTTAGACCCTCACTGTACAACTTTTTGCAGGCCAAGGATCAATCGTACAACACTTTTTTATTTCAATGGTAATCTAGGACCAGCCTATGAAGAGGGTCGCCGTGAAGACACGTATGTATATATATATATGTGTCTGTCAATATATGTGACCAAATTGTATATTAATCTGCTTCCTCTGTATAACACAGGTATAGCATGGGGATTAGGCAAAAGCTGGCAGCTGAATTCGGTTCAACACCAAACAAGCAAGGGAAGCTTGGAAGGCAGCATACAGCCAACGTAACAGTTACGTACGTAAAATCTGAGATGTATTATGAGGAACTAGCAAGCTCCATTTTCTGTGGTGTCCTGCCAGGGGATGGCTGGAGTGGGCGCATGGAAGACAGCATGCTTCAAGGATGCATTCCTGTCATAATACAGGTGCTACAACGTCATCCTATAGTCCTATGATGTGTATCTGACAAGACTTAACAACAGAGCAACTAACTGTGTGATCATACCTATCTGCTTCCATTGCTTACACTGTAGGATGGAATATTTCTTCCGTACGAGAATGTGCTTAATTACAACAGTTTTGCAGTCCGCATAGAAGAAGATGAGATCCCCAACCTCATGAGAGTCCTCCAAGTAGGTTCTATTTTTTGCTTTCCTTTTCTCTTCTTATGTGCGTTACCTGTGCAGTGTACTCACCGTTTTCATCTCACCAGGGAATAAACGATACACAGATAGATTTTATGTTAGGAAATGTTCGCCAGATCTGGCAGAGATTCTTTTATCGCGACACCATGTTGCTAGAGGCAGAGAGGCAGAAAAAACTGTTTGCTGAAGAGGAGGCGGCCTGGTCAGTCGAGGTTTCGAAACTAGAAGATGGTGATGACGTCTTTGCTACTTTCATACAGGTAACTTCTGAAAATTCCGAGCAAAGCTTCTCCATTTAGTTTTTATGGTGGAAACCTCATGATAATGATCATTGGCGTCAATCCCACATTCATTACCATAAGCAATATTTGTAATTTTCATTTTCGTCACGAGGCAAAGCATTATGCATTGTGTGCTCACATTGCCGGATCATACTAGAGCCAGTCGTTCTGTCGTCATTCCCGATTTGCTGAGGAGGAATGTCTTTTTTACAGGTATTGCATTACAAGTTATACAATGACCCATGGCGGCAAGGTCTCCTCCTAGAAAAGGAAACCGGTTTGCCGAGCATCTGCTCAAAGGCTTCCTGAAGTGCTCCGCGGATGTTGCGGCTGTGGCGATAGGCTTAGGATAGGCGTACTCACTCTCTTGATCCCATGTGAAAAAAATTCGGTACATATGGTCCTCCAAAGGGATGATCTGATAATGGAAATGGGACTCGCCTTTTCATTTTTGGTTTCCTTTGAACAGATTATTGCTGTTTTGACAGAAGATAACCCAGACCATTCTCTGGAAAAAGGGATAGATCACAGCAACCTTGTGTGTTGAGCCAAAACTGATACACCAAACAAATTGGAAGCAAATGTGATGTAGTATATGGTAATTTTATTTTGTACCGCTGTCGGGCTGTATCTTTTTGTCCCTGCGCTGGAAGCTACTAGAGCTGGTCAAACTAGCTATAGGAGGGAGGGCTCAGGAATCACGCGGCGTGTGCAAAAACATGGACACATGCTGCACCCGTCCGTCCGACGTGGACGAGAAGCATGTGAAGAGCGCGCTCGTGAGAGCCCCAAATGCTGTGAGGTGGATCTTTATTTATACCATCTTGCATTCATGCCATTCCATCTTATCAGCATGGATGATAATGCTGCATCGACATACATGTCCTGCAAGCCCTAGCCGTACGTACATACGTACGTTCCACGGATGAATATGCTTGGTGCTTTGTGATCTTTTTTTTTTCATTTTGCCGATGCACATCGGTAGTGAAACAACCAGCACTTAACTTGAATTAGACAAACCCAAGTTGATAGTGATAGTTCATTTTTCTATTTTATATATTGTTGGTTTCAGGAAGTACTTCTCACTTGTGCCAAAAGGTCCTGGGTTTGACGCGGCCTCTCTGCATTGCCTTGTGCAGGGGAATGGTTTACCTTCGTATATTCCTCCCCAGACCCCACCTAGTATGGAGTTTCAAGCATTGGGTCTGTCTTTTTTTAGAATGGTCTGTCCTTTTCTTTATACAGGATAGTTGGCCAGACTTGCAGCCCGGTAGTGATAGGATTTATTTAGCAGTTGAAGGATTACAATGAGAAGATCATGATGCAACCAACACGTGGTACTCACATCCGTTCTACCGTAATTAAGCTACACTATGTGCAACCCTGTTCTATTATTCATGTTTGTGAACTATAAAAATATCCAGAATGTTTTAATAATGTTCATGAATTTTTTAAAATGTTCATGATTTTTAATAAATATTCATGAATTAAAATGAAATCTGAAAATAAAAAACAAGAAAGCAAAACACCAAAAGAAAAACAATTAAAACTGACAAAAACATTTGAAAAAATAGGTAATACCTTTTCAAAACCAAGAAAACCGACCAACCCATTACATCTATATAGGTGTGTGTTACTATCAGCCAGCAGCGCACACCCTTACACGCGAGGCACACAATGACCCATAGGCTCCGATGCACCAGGAGGCTCCAAATTTAGAGAGCTTAGTATCTTAATTAATAGACAGATTCAACAAGTAATGCTTCACCATCAAAATTACCTCCGTCATTTCGGATCATAGCACCATACTTGCATCGACTAAACGCATATAACAGTAAGTTGTCCAGCCTAAGGGCATCTTCTTCGTGGACCTCTACTTTTGCCCTCAAATGTCTAGCCTTGATATGGAAACTTGCTAAGTGGTAATTTTTTTTGGAGAAACCTTGTAATTAAACAAGGTTCTTGAACTAGAATACAAACAAAAAGGATATGTGCAGAGAGACTCAATGAAAGTTGTTCTAAAAAATCGACCAGACGGTCCTAACAATATTTAGACGTCCAACATGGGCCCCTATTTTGGGCCAGACACGTCCAGACGTCCAAAATCGCCTAGTCCAGCCTCAAATTGAGGGGCGGTTGTAGGGGGAGTTCGGACGTCCACCACCTCGGCCTGACGGCCCCTCCCCCACCATCCTTTTTCACACCCCACCCATCTCACTCTCACTTCACTTCCCTACCAAACCCCTAGCCACCAGTCGCTACCACGCCAGGACCATGGATTCAGGAGGAGCTTTTGATGCGTGGAGACACATCATTGCCGCAAACTCGCCCTGCGGCTGCGTCTCGCCGCCACAGGTCTCCGACGTCGCCATCCTCAGTCACTTCATCCGTCATCAAGGAGGAGCCAGTTGATGAAGATGATGATGGCCTCGATGTAGGGGAACATAGTAATTTCAAAAAATTTCCTACGCGCACGCAAGATCATGGTGATGCATAACAACGAGAGGGGAGAGTGTGATCTACGTACCCTTGTAGACCGACAGCGGAAGCGTTAGCACAACGCGGTTGATGTAGTCATACGTCTTTACGGCCCGACCGATCAAGCACCGAAACTACGGCACCTCCGAGTTTTAGCACACGTTCAGCTCGATGATGATCCCCGGACTCCGATCCAGCAAAGTGTCGGGGAAGAGTTCCGTCAGCACGACGGCGTGGTGACGATCTTGATGTTCTACCGTTGCAGGGCTTCGCCTAAGCACCGCTACAATATTATCGAGGATTATGGTGGAAGGGGGCACCGCACACGGCTAAGAAAACGATCACGTGGATCAACTTGTGTGTCTAGGGGTGCCCCCTGCCCTCGTATATAAAGGAGCAAGGGGAGGAGGCCGGCCGGCCCTAAAGGCGCGCCAAGGAGGAGTCCTCCTCCTAGTAGGAGTAGGACTCCTACTAGGAGGGGGAAGGAAGTGGGGAGGGAGAAGGAAAGGGGGGCGCCGCCCCCCCTCTCCTAGTCCAATTCGGACCAAGGGGGAGGAGACGCGCGGCCCACCTTGGCTGCCCTTCTCTCTCTCCACTAAGGCCCATATGGCCCATTACTTCTCCCGGGGGGGTTCCGGTAACCCTCCGGTACTCCGGTTTTCTTCGAAATCACCCGGAACACTTCCGGTGTCCGAATATAGTCGTCCAATATATCAATCTTTATGTCTCGACCATTTCGAGACTCCTCGTTATGTCCGTGATCACATCCGGGACTCCGAACTAACTTCGGTACATCAAAACTCATAAACTCATAATATAACTGTCATCGAAACCTTAAGCGTGCGGACCCTACGGGTTCGAGAACAATGTAGACATGACCGAGAAATGTCTCCGGTCAATAACCAATAGCGGAACCTGGATGCTCATATTGGCTCCTACATATTCTACGAAGATCTTTATCGGTCAGACCGCATAACAACATACGTTGTTCCCTTTGTCATCGGTATGTTACTTGCCCGAGATTCGATCGTCGGTATCTCAATACCTAGTTCAATCTCGTTACCGGCAAGTCTCTTTACTCGTTTCGTAATACATCATCTTGCAACTAACTCATTAGTTTCAATGCTTGCAAGGCTTATGTGATGTGCATTACCGAGAGGGCCCAGAGATACCTCTCCGACAATCGGAGTGACAAACCCTAATCTCGAAATACGCCAACCCAACATGTGCCTTTGGAGACACCTGTAGAGCTCCTTTATAATCACCCAGTTACGTTGTGACGTTTGGTAGCACACAAAGTGTTCCTCCGGTAAACGGGAGTTACATAATCTCATAGTCATAGGAACATGTATAAGTCATGAAGAAAGCAATAGCAACATACTAAACGATCGAGTGCTAAGCTAACAGAATGGGTCAAGTTAATCACATCATTCTCCTAATGATGTGATCCCGTTAATCAAATAACAACTCTTTGTCTATGGTTAGGAAACATAACCATCTTTGATTAACGAGCTAGTCAAGTACAGGCATATTAGTGACACTCTGTTTGTCTATGTATTCACACATGTATTATGTTTCCGGTTAATACAATTCTAGCATGAATAATAAACATTTATCATGAAATAAGGAAATAAATAATAACTTTATTATTGCCTCTAGGGCATATTTCCTTCAGTCTCCCACTTGCACTAGAGTCAATAATCTAGTTCACATTGCCATGTGATTTAACACCAATAGTTCACATCATTATGTGACCAACACTCAAAGGGTTTACTAGAGTCAATAATCTAGTTCACATCGCTATGTGATTAACACCCAAAAAGTACTAAGGTGTGATCATGTTTTGCCTGTGAGAGAAGTTTAGTCAATGGGTCTGCCATATTCAGATCCGTATGTATTTTGCAAATTTCTATGTCAACAATGCTCTGCACGGAGCTACTCTAGCTAATTGCTCTCACTTTCAATATGCATCCAGATTGAGACTTAGAATCATCTGTATTAGTGTCAAAGTTTGCATCGACGTAACCCTTTACGACGAACCTTTTGTCACCTCCATAATCGAGAAACATATCCTTATTCCACTAAGGATTATTTTGACCGTTGTCCAGTGATCTACTCCTAGATCACTTTGGTACCTCCCTGCTAGACTTATAGCAAGACACACATCAGGTCTGGTACACAGCATTGCATACATGATAGAGCCTATGGCTGAAGCATAGGGAACATCTTTCATTTTCTCTCTATCTTCTGCATTGGTCGGGCATTGAGTCTTACTCAATTTCACACATTGTAACACAGGAAAGAATCCTTCTTTTGCTTGATCCATTTTGAACTTCTTCAAAATTTTGTCAAGGTATGTGCTTTGTGAAAGTCCAATTAAGCGTCTTGATCTATCTCTATAGATCTTAATGCCCAATATGTAAGCAGCTTCACCGAGATCTTTCATTGAAAAACTCTTATTCAAGTATCCCTTTATGCTATTCAGAAATTCTATATCATTT